CACGGCGCCTGGGCCGGGTGGCTGCAGAACCGCACTTGGGATGCAGCTTCCATGCCTTGCGAGCGACACCCCCCCCCCCGGCCAGAGAATAGATGAGAAGCACTCCGCTCTCGCTTCGCTTGACATCGCAAGCAGGGTAGCAATGCAGTACGTACGTCGTCTCCGAATTGGCAAGCCGGCTAGAGAGTGGCCTTCGCCTTCATCGATACCCGTACTGTATGTACGTACGGTACAGCAGCGGCGCGGGCAGACGAGGCGTGCCACAACCCTCTCAGTCTTCGAAGCTGAATGTTGACCGCGCAACGCTCGAGCGAGCGAGCGCCTGGGCCCTCGACCCGTAGACACGCAGTCACGGCTGCTGTAAGCTCGTACAGAGTGGCGGTTACGGTTCGGTGTGGCCTGAAGCCTGAGCCTGCTTGCTTGTGACAACCGCGCTAGGCTCCCGTACTGTGTATATGCATCTAGTCGTGCTGCGGCTGCGAGGCCAGGACGCAATTAAACGGCGGTGAAACCCACCATCGCGACCGTACCATTTCGACCGCCTTTGCCGAGTCAAAATACGGGCTCAATATCGAAGATACCGGCAGCATCTCGACGAACGTTCATCCAGGCAAGGCCAGGCCAGGTCGGTTCCATCCAGAGCCGGCCTGTACCGGTACAACCTTGACTGCGTCGACCATCAACAACTCACAGGCTGGGCCATCTGGCCAGTGATGCGCACCGTCGGACCGCGCAATGTATGTACATATGCACATCGACCATCGTCGGATAACTAGATTGCCTCTTGTCTCTAGAGAGACAGATAGTCTCTCTCTCTTGGCGAGATGGGAGCTCGCATTGGCGCCACCCCCACCCTCTTGGCGTCGAGCGCGCCAGATCCGTACATGTGAAAAGACGAGCTGACGATCGTCGTCCTCCAACCGGCCCAAGCCAGCCGGGCATCGCATCACCCACTCAACGTCCCCTCACGATCCTGACCGCCGAGGGAGCCCGCGCAGGGACCAAATCGTCCAGGGCGGCCAACTCCATAAAGAAAAGAACGAAAGCAATTGTCCAGTTGGGCCGACCTCGGATACAATACAAGTCAATGCAGGCGGCGGCGAGGTGAGGCTCAACAGTGTGTGGCGCTCGGCACAATCTCCGACATCCCTAGCGCCCGTAGTGAGCGAGCCTCTGTACAAGGCGGAGCGGTGCGTCCGGGTGAACCGTGGAGCCGGCCAGAGACGATGAGCATCCTGCGGCAGAGACTACGGTCGCGGCGTCGGGCCCACATCGTCGACATCCCTTCGGCCGTTGCCGCCGCCGCCGCCGCCGCAGGGCCAGCCGGAGCCGCTCCAGCCCGATAGGTCGTACTGATCGGCGGGATAGCGGCAGCCCGAGATGGGCGTGTACATGGGCCTGGCGGCGCCGGCGTCGGTCCAGGCGCCAAACGACGGCGACGGGTTGGGGTCGCCCGCCACAATGGCCGTCTGGCTAAACGTGGGCGTCGGCAGCATCTGGACCGCGCCGGTCCGCGTGTAGCGCG